GAAGTTACTTGTTAATGCAAGTGATGCTTTGCCTATGTTCTTGCTATTTTGCTTGCTGCATGGCTCTGTTTCCTGAACTGCTTGCTTTCATTGATATCTCTTTTCAGTTTGTATCCCTTATAATGTTTGCTGGGTGATGATATCATGCATGCTTTAAGGATATAACCATGATGGTGGTAATCAGAAATACATTGCTGAAAATGTCAGATAATGCTAGTAAGACTAATGAATTGTCTGTACACTGTACCATTTGAATCTCTCTGTTTCTAAAATGTGTATTTTCATGTTCGATGCATGCAGCTGATTTTTTACCCATGTCAGGGTAAAAATTTGTCGTATGGTTATCAATACACATCTAAGAATCTTTCAATTTTTGTTTATAAGATACTGTGTCGCTGTAATACAGATGGCCGAGTATCGAATATCAATATATGGCAGAAAAATGAGTGAGTGGGACCAGCTGGCAAGTTGGATAATAAATAATGACTTGTACAGTGAGAACGTTGTCTGGTTAATTCAGGTAACTACTGGATCTCTCTCGTCCTGTGATATAGTAGTTGTAAATATCATAGATATGAGCATCTTCAAAAAATCATCTACATATTTCGGTTATGGAGATCATATTTAGCAGCAGGCCTGGAAAAACTTGGAATTTTAATTTAATAAAAAATAGTGATTATATGTTAACTAGATAGGAGGTGATTGGATTTATTTTGTTTCGATTGAAATAGCCAGCAATCTGAAATTTTTATGGATGCCTATCTGAATACCTGAGCATTTTGCCTCATTTGGAGTTGCAACGTCATTGATTATATTGAACATAGACGATTGTGGCTACATCAGAATATGAAGGCTGCCATATTTTAGGAGTTCAAACTGAAAGCCTGAAATCATCACCATGAAGAAATGAAGATCTTTCTAATTCGATAAATCATTTTCTACTTTTTTTGTGAATTGCGAATTGCAAATTGATACGATTGAAACAGAATTATTATTCTGGTTATGAGTTAAAATCTATTCCTAACTCAAAGTTTTGCTATACCTTCTTTCATTACTGTTCCCTTTTACATTTCTTGTGGTTTCATGTGCAATTTAAGTTACTAATTAGAAAATTTAGATGTTTTCTTCTAATTTAGATGTTTTCATTCTCATTCTGGAACTTTTACCATATAGCTTCCAAGACTCTACAACGTGTACAAGGAGATGGGAATTGTGACTTCTTTCCAGAACATTCTCGACAACATCTTTCTACCTTTGTTTGAGGTCACCATTGATCCAGATTCACATCCCCAGCTACATGTTATCTTAAAACAGGTTTTTCTGCTCCTATCTCATATAATTATTGTTATGCAGTTCATTCTAAGTTATCCATCTTAAAATAATATCCGTGTTTCTCAATGAAAGTTCCATTCATAAACAGTTCTACTGAACCCAGTAGTGCAATTTTTTGAGCCTGATGGCTGAGTCCTTCATGAGGCCATGCATTTTATTAAATTCTTGGGTGTCTGAATGTCCGCGTACTTTCTTCATTTGTTTTTTTCCTTTTCTAAATCTTTCCCTTGGGAAATTTTATTTTATTTATTCTATTTTTTCCCCACTCTTACAGTACCATTATCTTTGTTCTAACAGGTTGTTGGATTGGATCTAGTTGATGATGAAAGCAAGCCTGAAAGACGGCCAACAAAACACATGCCTACACCTGCTCAGTGGACCAATATTTTCAATCCTGCATTTTCGTACTATGTGTACTACTGTTATGCTAATCTCTATACCCTGAACAAGGTGCATATCATAATTTTATTGTTATTTTTCTTTCACTCAATGCTAGCTCAAATGCCATCGTGGAAAATGAAGAAAATATTCGTAGTTCCATTCGTCGTTTAGTTTGCATTTAAAAGCTTTTTCCATGTTGTTCTCTTAACTATTAATTTTTAACTTACTGTGGTCTGTTTTAAATTCATTGAATTTTAACTTATGACTGGGACATCTCAGCTTCGTGAGTCAAAGGGCATGACGACTATTAAGTTCCGGCCACATTCTGGAGAGGTAACCAGTCGAAGCTTCATTCTGTATTATTTCAATTTTCAATAGATTGTATACATCATCACTAACATATTAATGTGATCAGGCTGGTGACATTGACCACCTTGCTGCAACATTTCTCACTGCTCACAATATTGCACATGGGATCAATTTGAGAAAATCTCCCGTACTTCAATATCTGTACTACCTAGCTCAGGTAAGGGAAAGGGAACAAGTAGAAATAAGTAAATACGCTTGATCATATGACTGTTACTAATGGTCTAGAATGACACATTAATCATCAGATTGGTCTGGCTATGTCTCCTTTGAGCAACAACTCTCTATTCTTAGACTACCATCGGAATCCATTTCCCATGTTTTTCCTGAGGGGTCTCAACGTTTCCCTCTCGACTGATGATCCATTACAAATCCACCTAACTAAAGAGCCCCTTGTGGAAGAGTACAGTATTGCTGCTTCTGTGAGTACTCCCATTTTATTGCTCTGCACATTGTATGATTTTGATTGATAAAATTCTAACAGTTCCCTTGCCGTTCTCTTCTTACAGGTATGGAAGTTGAGTTCGTGTGATTTATGTGAGATTGCCCGTAATTCAGTGTATCAGTCTGGTTTTTCACATGCTTTGAAGGTATATGGCATTTCTGGAAATTTCCCTTATTTTAGTGACCTTAACATTTAGTTCCTAAGTTTTTAGCTTAAACCTTGAATTTCTCATCTTAGGCTCACTGGATTGGCAAGGAGTACTTCAACAGAGGCCCGGATGGAAATGACATTCGCAAGACAAATGTCCCTCATATTCGGCTGGAATTTCGTGATATGGTACGTTCTTGAATTGTGTATTTGCATCCGCCACCTTTCCCGCTTGAGAAAACTTAACCGTAAGTTTTAACCTGCTTAACTACAGATTTGGAGAGAGGAAATGAAACTTGTTTATCTTGGCAAGGTGAATTTTCCCGAATATATTAGCCCATGATCCCGAGGTAATTTCATATTTTCGTCTTACGATTGCTTCCAAGTAGTAGTTATTTTGTGTACTCGTCTAGAAATAGTTCACATTGCAAACTGTTNTTTCATATTTTCGTCTTACGATTGCTTCCAAGTAGTAGTTATTTTGTGTACTCGTCTAGAAATAGTTCACATTGCAAACTGTTCTACTTCCCAGAGTTGCAGGAACTGGCAATCTGCATTGTACTTGCTCATCCTTCATTATGAAGGCGATTAAGTTGAGTAATAGTTTGGCTTAGCGTAAGCTGGAGCTATATAGCCAATTATAGGGATGTAGAACATATGGTTTTGAGATCTCGAGCTGTTCGCTTAAGATCAACTACAGCAAAAGCTTATCACCATCATTGGCGTATATGTGGATGTAACTCAACAGTAAAATATATCGCATGTAAGTTATAAAGATGTAGTAATGCTTGAATATATAGTTGTTAAATTTTGTTTCATGAAGTGGTTGTGTAATATTATACAGGCCGCCCCTAGAATGTTTGTAAATAAATATTAGTTGAACAGAAAATCGGTTGGACATTTTATGTGGAATATACTTCCTCTGCAGGACGCGGGATCTCTTTTTGGTATATCTATATGTTTGTGTAGAGTTAGGTAATTTTTAGGAGGAATAGTAATTATTTCACGACGTGTGTACAATAAATGGATAGTAGTTGTAAATACTACAATAAAAAAAATTATACTTTTTACTAAGAAAAAGTGAAGAATACTTTCTTAAGCTTACATGTGCGCTTATGCATAATACATTTGAATGTTGTAAAATGGAAATTGGAGAAATTAACCATTTTGACATGTGGCCAGGTTTTTGGTGGATGGTCATTTTCACCAAACTCAAACTAAAATGCCCCTGAAAAACGAATTTAAAAAATTCCCTTCTAAGCCATATCATAGCTATTTTCAGTTAAGGAAAATTTATACCTTTCATCTTTAATTTTTTCAAACTGTTGCTAATCTACAACTGGTTTTGGCTAAGGCATTCCCGATATTTCACATATTTGCAAATCATGTTATTTCGTTCATTTTTTTTTAGCTAAATCAACGTTTTACAAATTTATCCTTTTTCAATACATAAAATAGAAGAAATCAACAAAACAGAAACATTTTGAAGGGAAAATGGTAAGAGGAAGTCCAAAATCTTTTCAAAACTTACCTATAGGTCCTACTTTGAAAAATGTTAAAAAGGAAAAACACTCTAATTTTTAGGGGTACAAAACTTGAATATTTCATGTCGGCGTGGTGTCGAGGACGTCAACAACTTTGAGTGGAGTGTCACAAACAAATTTGTGCATGCTTTGATGGAAGATTAGCAACTTTGAGTGGAGTGTCACAAACAAATTTGTGCATGCTTTGATGGAGGACTTCATATCGCTGATGGTTGTGATGACTTGTTCAAAGTTGATTCAGAGTTAGCTGACTTGAGAACCTAGAAGAGCGAGAACGTGCAAGATGCACAAGAGTTGGGCTAGAGATCCAGTACAATAAAACTATAGTGTACTCTATGTCAACAAGGAGTTGATAGATTATATAGAGAAGAGTCACGACAGCAACTTATCATAATGTAAATGTTTGATGACCATTGGGAACGAAATGAGGACTTGACATGAGTTTAATAGTTGATCATATTGGCAACAAGTTCGTTGTCGAGCAGAGGACTTTAGCGGGTAGGTCTATTGGCTAGAAATGTTGGACGAATATGGTAAAATGCCAATATTGTAGGAACCAGTATGCCATGAAAGCATTTCTAATTAGTCATGGACAAAGAAATAACCTTACTTGAGTTAGGCATTGACAAAGGGCATGACGACAAACATTAAGCTAAAATGTCCATAGAAAGTAACGAACACAATGATCGTGGAGTGGGGCATACGATGACCCTCAATGCTTCAGATGGAGTTAGGAGAGCTCCTTTCCAACGAGTATGCAGAGGACCGTATGGTGTGCATGAAAATAATAAGCTAAAGCTATAATTATTAACAGAATCAACCCCTACCAATCAGTTATAGTTATTGAGCTCACAGGCAAGAGCAGCCCCTACCATCCTGCTTATTCGAGCTAAAGCATAACAGAAGTAATTTATAGCTAAGAGCGGTATCAGAGCAACTTATATGTCATTTGTAAAATTTTCGAACGTGGATCCATATTTGCTACCTTGCTTTCAATCCTAGTAACAAAAAGGTAGACAATTCTCATCATGCCCTTAAGAAAATCTGAAAATTTTGATCAGTATATATCAGGGACGAACTCTTCCATGTTCAGTCGATCAAATCTCACAACTACAGGCTTCTGCTACATTCAAGATTTAGCAACCCTTCTCTTCTTGAAATGTACTCTGTGCTTCTCATCTCTCCTCCTCTTTTTTATTTGCTTCTGGAATGACTTGTTAACTACTGAAGGTTGCTCTTTCAATGCAAAACTCTTTGCAACATGCCCCAGGTGAAGTTTCTTCACCATGAAAATTTGCTTCAGCTCACCACGATGAGCAGTGTATGCACGCACCCAAGAGCGAAATGCATCCTTGGCCAAATTTTTCAACGTTGACTATAAACAGACACAAAACAAAAACCATTAATAGTTAGATCAAATAATTACGGATGAAGGTATGGAAACCCATGTTGCATTCACAGAACTGAATTTATTTAATGGACCGAGGCTAGATCGGCCAGTGTACAGGTTCAGCAGGCTTAGAAAAGTGTTGGAGACATACCTCTGTTGAAATAAGGGATTCTAATGCTTTCTGCAAAGAAAGCACCCATGGATGCATCTCTACTGACAATAACTTTTTGATTGGGAGCTTGAGACCGTGCAACGGAAAACTATCCAGCAGTTTTAGAAGAGGATACTCTGTCAGCATTACCCCATGCTTTTCCAGGTCCTTCAAGTAATCAATTTCAACTGGTTGTAGGAATATGAGAGACTCTCCCTTTTCACCCAACCGGGCAGTTCTTCCAACCCTGCATGAGGTGCGAGCATAAAGTCAAAGATAGAGCAACTTCCCGGTAAAAAAGACAAATATTTTAAGCAGTGAAACTCACTACAATGAACTAACGACAAAATGAGGGGAGGGCATACCTGTGTACAAACTCAGTTGCCTCTCCTGGAGAATCATATTGTATAATGCATCGGACTTTGGGAAAGTCTAATCCTCTAGCAGAAACATCTGTGGATAACAGAAGCGCTGATTTTTCAGTTTTGAATGTCTGGAATGTAGTTTTACGATCCTCGTGATTCATATTCCCGTGCAATCGCAAAGTTTTGCATCCCAAAAACATTTTTTGGACTTCTGCTTCTGATTGCAATCTAGGTGGCCAATGAAATTTACTTATCAATGAATAATGGAAATCAACTGCATCACACGTTGAAAAGAATACAACAATCTGCAAAAGAAGAAGAAAAAAGAGATGGTTTATCAAGTATGCTAGTATATGCTATAAAGGACAAGGGGGTATCAGGCGAAGAGAGGATTTTACTTCCTAGGAGGAGGTCAACAAAGTAAACCTCAGAATGGTATGTAACTTTTGTAATGAACAATTATCCACAAGAGTGTGAATGGACTAAATATGCTTTGTGGTAATGATTATAAATAAAATAAAATAAAAGAAAAGAATTACATGAGATGAAGTAGAAAACTAATTATGATTCATCCGTGCACCACCAAATAGCCTACCTTTGATAAGTATGGATAAGGCTTTTTTGATAACTTAAAAACCTACGACCCACAAAAGCAAGGGCGGTATGCAGATTCAAGAATTACACAACGTTAACAATAGACAAAAATGCACATTAATATACGTACAAACTACAACACAGTTATCACTTTGTAAATCTAAAAGTAGCCCAACCTTCTGGGAAGTTTCTCTCTCAAATAGATGCTTTAATATGGAAAGGAGCACAACAAGCCGAGATCCACATGGAACTGCACAGAGAGGTTCATTAGTGTATGAAAATACAAGCAATTGATTAGGTTGTTGATCAATAGTCCAAATTTCCTCTACCGTATACCTTTAATGTATCTCTGAACTAACTGAGATGGAAGATTATATTCCTCAGTTGAAGCAGTCATTCCTTTTGCAGATTCCCCTAATCTATCAAACACATCAGATCCGACAGACACCGCATGATCGTGATTTACATTATGTTGCATCTTCTTCTCATCTAGACCAATCATTACTGGGTTTTCTAAACTTATTTTAGCAAGATGATTTACTTTTTCATTTAAAGTAGCTGACAACAGCAAATTCTGTTTCAGAACTTCTGGAATTTTTGATGTTGCATTCTCCTTGCTAACAGATTTGTCTTGTTTTGTGCCCAAAATATTAAGTATCTGTTCTATGTCTTTACCAAACCCTAGTTCTAGAATCCTGCAAGGTAAACAAACATAATTGAGGAAGGAGAGTTCAAATGGTATTTACTACTGTGGGATCATAACAATAGTAATACACAATACCTATCTGCTTCATCAAATATAATCCAGCGGAGATTTGTGTGCAGAAATGATGAAGTATTTTTCAAGTGATCCAAAAGACGTCCAGGAGTTGCAACGAGGATTGATACACCTGGAGAAGGCCACTGTCAGTTTCATTAAAAAAATTTATGTTTGCAATTGGTTAAAGATTGAGGAATAATAATTTATGACAGTTATTAAAAAAACCTTAGACAACTAAGCAGCAATAGTCAGCATAGATACAGTAAAAAAGTTTTAAAAAAAAAATCCCAACAAAATAATCATGCAACTTTAGAAAATTTACCAGCAACGCAGTAAAAGCAAAAATTATTACTTGTCGAACTAGGTAAAATCAGATTACATCATCATGTATACCGCATTACAAGCTTAGCGTGCACTAGCTATCTATCTTATCGTTAACTCATGAAGCTCTTAGCAAAATTAGTTAGTTTTTCTGAAGTCGATAACCAATTCGGAGATGTTAAGGTAAAAGAAAAGATTCGATGAACTTTGTGCTCATATCTGAAGCTATTTCTCATGCTGTATAAGTAATAAAGTTAAACATTAAATGGTATCAGTTCATTATTTGATTTCAAAGGGCAAAAGAGCAACCTATTTCGAAGAACAATAGATATTTTGTGCTTTGAAACTAAATTCATCGCAATAGCATGAAATAAAAACCATTACCATGTATATCCCCTTAACAAAAAGTCAGGAGTACAATACATAAATTATTCAACAAGTCATACCTTTCCTTAACCTGGCCTTCTCCTTTGACCTGTTTTCCCCACCCATGATGTAGCCAGGAACAATCCAATGAAAACGATGTAACAACTTCACCAAAATTTCATACACCTGCATGCATAGTTCATGCGTTGGTACAAGGACCAACGCTATTAAGAATAACATTGTCACTTACAATTCAAATGGGGTGATTATATGTCATTTTCAAGCCCTAGAAACAAAATCTTCCAATGGTATTGTTAATATAAGGTCACAAACCATCTAATGCCTCAGAAATAAATTTGATATCATTCATATAGCAGAATAATCTATCCTGAACGTGTTGATGGATTTTTGGTGTGTTTGTGTGAAAACAAATTCATTTAGCTGACTCCAAATTTAATGGGAATAAGCTGCGGTTGTTTAGTAAGAAACAAGGAGCTTTATTGAGGAAAATAAATATTATATTCTCTACTCATCCAGCGCTATCTATGACCAAATGCTCATCATCACTTTTATCTAAGCTTGAAAGGAATTATTTCGAATTATAGCTGGAACCAACATTGTAGATGCAAATAATACAAACCAACCCATCCTCTATTCCATACGCAGGTTAAAGTCCCAAACACAAAAATAAATCCACATGCTTTCGAAGATGAAGCTGTAAAAAACCTTTACATTTTTTTCAATGTTTTTTGGCCTGGAATTTCATGCATATGATAGGAATAATAGAAGAATGATTCTACATATTTTACAAATATAAACATACCAAAAGTACCATCAGACCGCTGAATTCGTGGATTAATATTCTG